AATTCAGCAGGGCAGAGCAACTTTAAGAAACCTTAATGCTCACTTTAATGATTTTTTTAAAAAGAGGATAATTGATAGCAAACCTAAACATGAAGGGTAAAATGGCCTGTGATTCTACTACCAAGGCATTTTCACGACTTAATGGACTAATAAATTGAAAGTGAACCAGTCACTAGGTAAACCTGGAAATGAGATTCATTTGTGTTTTAATGGAAGATTTGTTGGTGGCTTTTTATCATATTCAGGATAATAACACAACAGCAGGCTATAAATATGTAGCAGAAGAGCAAAGACCAGAGTTTGGCTTTCTGGAGGCGCAGCACAGAGGGTTCTGGACAGGAAGGCTCCGTCGAACTTCCCAGGACTAAAGCTTGTTGGCAGACTAGTGGCCAGCCTCCCCATTCACAGGACTTCCCAGCCCCTGCTGAAGTTGAGCACCCCTGCCTTTTCCTTGTCCTCTGTTACCACTCTGCCCTCCACTCTAAGTAGCTGGACACCCTCCTCTTTCTCATGTCTTTTGTTCTGGATGTACCTGAAGAAGGCCTGCTTGTTGTTCTCAGCATCCCTTGCTATACTCAGTTCATTTCCTGCTTTAGCCTTTTGGTGCTATTCCTGCAATTCCTTGCTCTTTGTTTATATTCTTCCTTCATGACCTGGCCCTGCTTCCACTTCCTGAACATGGTCTTTTTTTCTTTCAGGCTGTCTCTTAACCTTTTGTGGAGCCACATGGGCTTCCTCTGTTGCCTTCCACACATTTGTCCTTCAACTGTGGAGTCAAAAGATGAGATGGAACTCAGAGCCCCAAAGGACACCGATTGGGTGGGGGTATGGACGGCCACCCAATAAAAGACCACATGCCTTAAGACCCCAAAAGCAGGGCTCCTTATAAATGAAGCAGCTCCATCTGGAAAGCCGGACTAAGTCCCTGGAACTTGCTTCTAGAATCATGCTTGCTTTGCTTTCTATCATGTCTGATGAGACCTTTGCCTAGTCTGTCTTTATTCCCAACTGGCATTATTAATCTCCTAGCTTTGGCAAACCCATGCTGTAGTAGCCTAAGGGCCAAGATGGGACTTGATCCGGACATGACAGTTTCTTCAAAAGGTTTTGGTCTTTTGAACCATGAGAACTGTTTATTTTAAGCTTATATTCAGCTTTACATCTCTAGAATATTAGCTCTTGAAACCAAAGTGACTGCCTAGCCCTTATTTAATATATTTAGATTTAGGGTTATATATTTGAATACATAACCTTAAATATATTTGAGTATCTCTAAGCCATTCACAAAAATGCATTATTCTGTACATTCCAATACAAATAAAGACATAACATTTCAAAAATATTAAAATATGCCTCACCTTCAAACCAACACATTCTGCAGCAGTCCTGCGCAGGGAAGGCCAGTGGAATGAAATGGGTCTTCAAAGAGCTCATGAAGCACCTCTCAAAATCCAGAAAGGAGATAATTCAATACATGGAGTGCTACCATGAAGAAGGCCAGATTTCTGGCTGTTGCAAGATGGCACCATGCTGGTGCTGGCAGCAACACCACTTCCAATTACCTTTATGTCTGCAGTGGGGAGGGCAGTCTGCCTACTAAACCTGTCCAGGGCTTCATATCCCAACAGCAAGACCTTGTATTTGGTTCAGTAGCCACTGCAATTGCATTAACACCACTATAATATGTGCCTGGTCAGGTGTTCCACTCAGGGTCCCGATAGCCACATTCTGCACAACGGCAGTTCCTGGACCAAACGTGAGAGAGGCCCCCCCCAGGAAGTGCACTGCAATTCTCTTACACTGGCTACTGCGTGTGCTGCAGTGGCCAGGCAATCCCTGCCCAAGAAAAAGTACGTAAGAGGTGCTCCTCACCACAGAGGCCACTTGGCCCTCTAATGGCAATAATGGACCTGGGGCTTCTGAGGGAATGCAGTCCTGTCCTAAACAGACAAACTGCCCAGTTCCCATGCCTGACAACTACCAACTCAGGAAGACTTTGTCTTGTCAGGGTTGCCTTGATCCCAGCCTCCATTATTGCACTGCCCCAGCGTACACATTGACTAAAAGCCATTTTGAGGGCCATCGGAGGGGAGGAGGGGATGGGGGAGAAGTTTGTGAGGAGATGAGAGGTTCTTTTTCTGCTTGCTACTGAGCACAGGACCAGGTGCCTCTGAGATGGTTGGGCACAGCTGCTAGCTGGAATCAGCAAATGAACTTTCTTGTTTCTTACAGAAACAGAAAACGTGGGGCCCTGCACTATATCCACAAAACACCTTCAGAGACAAAATCTTTTCAGGTGCTATAGATCAAGGGCATTTTTGTCAGCGATGTTATCCCTGCAAAATCTGTTGTCCTTTTCCATAGCTCTCTATTTCCTGTCTTGGGATCAGCACATGCTACTTGGAGAGCAAGATGAGGGTATATGGTCTCCTAGAGACACCCTAAGAGAAAAGGAGTGCTTTGCATAAGCTCTTTTTCTGCTGCATCAGAACCCAAACCCACACCATAAGGCTTTGGGTCCAATGCTTAGGAAAGAGGTGCTGCTACAGCTTCATTCGTCACAACTGATGTAGGTTCTGGTAAAGACACTACCAGGGACCCCATCAGGTTCAGGGAATAAGCCCCCTCCTCATCCCCTCTGCCCGCATATGCTCAGGGTCATACTTGACAGTTGTCTGAGGAGGACTCCTCTATCTCTCTTAATGCTTTTTTCCCTCTCCTCCCTTGAGAGCTATTAAGAGGCTCTTTGAAAGGAACTACCAATAAACTCTCTGGTGTGAAAGCAGTACGGCCCCCAGACAATCTTTAGTCACCCTTAATGGAATAGCTACTTTTCATTCTTCTCTGGCCTCCCCCTTCCCAGCCTCCTGCATCCCCCATGAATTATCCCCCCACTTCCACTTCCACAGTCTAATTGCTGGTGTGTAGCACAAATCACACTTGGACTGCTATTAAGTTTGGGGAGATAAAGAGAGTCTGGGGATCATCTACAGCTTCTGCCCAGGAGAGGAGACCACTGACAACCACTGCAGCCCATGCAGTCCCTCCATGGAAAGGGGGAGCTGCTGCTCTGCTTGGCCAGGTAATCAGTGTGCTCAAGACCAGTGTGTGCACACAGTGTGCTCAAGACCTGTTTAGGATCAAGTCCCTGCTGTGGGATCTTAGATCAAGCTTAACAGGGTTGTTACCAAGAGAGAAGGGGGAGAGGCAGACAACTAAGGTTGGAGAACCAGAAAAAAAATTAACAGTGACTCTTCCACTCACCATAGCAGGACTATGCACTATTCTTGTGCTGCAGAGGGAGGCAACTGCACAACCTATGATGCCGGGAGAAGGCTCCCTGAGCTTCCTGGGCCCATTTGGCTACAGGAAATAGTAGCCAGATCATCACCATCACAAAATGACTGCCATGAAAGGCATGGAAAGGACAAGTAACCTGCTAAAAGAAATTAATATGAGGCAGTGCAGGGCTGAACCCCAACACTAAGCAACACCTCTGGACCTCTGCTTTGAGTTCCAACAGAAACTTGCTTCACAGAATGCAAGCTCCTCCTTTCCCCCATCGGCCGGCTAACTCGTTCTCCATATTTCTTTTTCCACCTAACTCTGGAATTGGACACTTGAAGACCATCATGTGGCTTTGAAGGATTCTAGCTGCCACCAAGAAAGGACATATTTTTTTAATAATAATAAACATAAGGATGGGGAGAGTGACTTGAGGAAGAGTTATACTACTTGTGGGCACCACCATTTCCCAAAAGACAAAGCTCCCCTCAGACAGAAACAGCAGGTTCACTGAGCTCAGAGTCCCAGAGCCAGGAGAGGCTAGACTGGCTTCCGGCCTGTTGTGGATGTTGCAGCTGCCACTCCTCTTGCCACCAGCTTGGGGGGTTTCTGAAGCTCCCACTGTGTTCAGAGGATGGATAGGTTCCAGGCAAGTTCCTGGGAGAAGCTCCACTAGGCACAAACGTGTATCAAGAGCAGTGCGGCAGAAAGAGAACACATTGCTATGGACTTTTCCCCATCAAGGCACAATCTTGCTACTCCTACTTGGAAGTCTGCCCTGTTGATTTCTATGGGGCAGGGTGTACGGGAATGCAGACAAATCAGACATATCCTCAAGTGCCCCCAGCAAACCAGACCAATCCGAACTCACTTCTGATGGTTCTCATAAGAAGCAACTAAACGGGGCTGGGGCAGGGGAGGGCAGGGGAGGGGAGAACTCTTTTACCAGGAAGAGCTTTCTCGCAACGGAGCACCTGTGGTTTGCCTTTCTGACCTCTCCTTTCCCTCCTGGCCTCAGTGCTACGAACGAGTCACAGTGAGGGGAAAAAAGCAAAGCGTTTTAGCTTGCAAGGAAAAATCCCCCGGAGAGGCCAACCGTTCTCTCGCTTCCACCGAGAGAGCCTCTAGCGCGAGGCCCACCGACGGGAGGGCTTTCAGGGCGTCTGTTTCTTGGCTCACTGCCGGCCTTCCAAGGCTGCGCGGGCGCCCGGTCAAGCCACAGCCAGAGCGAAAAGCACCTAGCTTGTCCGACGGCCGACACGGAGGCGTTGAGGGCCCCCGAAACGCCTTGCACCCGGCGCTAGCCTCAGGGTGGCGCGCACGGCTCGGGAGAAAGATGCCCGCGGCTGTTGCTGCCCTGCAGCAGCCCCGTCAGCCCGGCTTCGGACAAGGGCCAGCCGCACACCGCCCGTTGGCTCGGCGCCCAGCTCTGGGCTTGGAGCGCTGCTCCGGGTGCCTCGGTCGCTTCAGCACCTGGCCTCGACGGCGCCGATACCACCGCGAGGCTGCAGCCGCGCTCCCCGCTTGGCCCGCTCCGACCATAAAAGGGGGCGGGCAAAGGGGGCAGCTCCTCCCGCCGGCTCGTCTGGTCTACATAAGCGCCGCCAGGCTGCCCTCGGCTCCCGGCTTCTCGCGCGGTTCTTAGGAGGGGCACCGCTGCGTCGGACTCCCGGGCCCGCCAGCAAACGTGGGACTGCCGCAACGCCCGGGACGCCATGCAAGCCAACCCGGGTAGGTGGCGGCAACCTCTGCGCGCTTCCGCGGTCGGCTAGCTGCCCCGGCGGGCGGGCGGGCGGGCTGCTCTGTGAAGCGCCGCCCCGTCCAAGCCCAGGTGCGGCCACTTGCGCCAAGCTCCCGATCCAGTGTGCCGCCGCCGTCCCTGGCCTTGCGCGGGCCCTCGGTAGCCAGCCACGGCGACTTCTCACGGGATGGGCTCGGCTGTGCCCGGCGAGAACTTCCCCGCGGCTGCTTCGAGGGGGCGCCCTTGCCCGCGGAGCCCGTTGCCTTGGCCCGGCGCGGCGGCGGCGGCAGCAGGCCCGGTGGTGCAGCGGCGTGCAGAGGCGGCGTGCGGCGGGCCTTAGCCAGGGAGGGCCGGGGCCGGGGCCGCCACTCCCTTCCTGGAGGGCTCGACGCGCCCGCACCCTCCAGGCACGCTTCTTTGAGGCGAGCGCGGCCGCTCCCTGGAGGCCGCGGGAGACGCGCGGCGGCCACACGGTCGCGCCGCGGGCGGCCTCGGACCCGCCGGCGGAGGCTGCGAGCCGCGGCCTGGCGCGCCCCGCTTCTCTTCCCCGCGCGCAGAGGACGGCGCCAGCCCCTCCGGCGAGACGCGGGGCGCCCGGCTGGGCCCGCTTCCTGCTAGGACGCCGGCACAGGATGCGGGCGCTGGGAGGTGTTGACCTGGATTTGGGCCCCTCCCATCCATGAGGCTGTTACTTTCCCAAACTCATCCCACAATTCTTCCATTTTACATACTTTATCTGCACAATTAGTTGACGTTCACATACGTCCCCATTACTTAAGCAGTTCCTCAGGAATTACACATTTCTAATAGGGTGGTTTGATAACTTTTAAAAATTCTTTCAGTAGTATGCAATCTGTCCTGAAATTTAACCAGATGTATTAGCTTTATATGCATTCTATACATTTTCATACCAAAGTGATATCATATGTATCCTGTCATACATATCATATCATATCATCCAGTGGTACCTTGGCTCATTATCTGTTCCGGGACTCTGGTCGAGACCCAAACTGGTCATGAACCAAGTCAAATTACCCCATAAGGTTCAATGTAAATAAGGTAAATCTGTTCTGTAACTATTTTTTTTTAATCAGAAAAATGTGAAGCAAAGTGACAACAAAAGATCATTGCTATCTCCCCCCCCCCCAGCACAACCACAATCGCACCCATCATCCCTGCATGTGCCCATCATTCTGGCGTGCTGAGGGAGGGAGAGATGGGTGCGAACGGGGCGTGCTGCGGGGGAGAGATGGGCATGATTGTGCTGAGGGGGGGAGACGGCTGAGATCGCGGTTGCACTCCTGCAGGAAAGACAGGCGCAATCTCAGCCATCTCCCCGCTCGCCCCCAGCACGACTTGGGTGGCGGGGGAGATGGTTGCAATCACGGTCGCCATCCAATGCAGACTTCGTGACCTGAGTCAAAATTTTTATGACATTTTTGTTCGCAACCCAATTTGGTCGTGCGCTGAGATGTTCGTGCGCGGAGGTACCACTGTATATGGTACATGGTCTCGATGTGCCATTTATTCTCAGAAAAAACTGTTGAGTTACGCTCCTGCTTTTGGCTTTTCAGAATGATGAGATGCTGAGCCTTAACACGACATTTCAGCAGATTATTCAAGATGTAGTATCTTACTTCATTGATGGACTCTTTGTGTTTGGGCAGAGATGTTTTAGGGAATTTTAGTGAATTCACTTCCAGTAGAATTTTAAAAGCAGTCTTTTTCATTCATAAGGTTTGGGAAAAGGTGTATGTTCTATAGCTTTGTTGCATCTTACTGTTTTGCAAAAGTCTCTTACCTGTGAATTTGGGAAGCGACAGCTCCTTGATATCATGATGCTGATAAGAATGCAGACTCAGAATCATGTCACACAGATGACGTCCTGAGCTGCATCTTTGCTTTGTAATATCAGTAAACTATGGGATTACTTATTTTCTTTTCTTGATAGAGAAAGAAAGTAGACCACAGTATGCAGTCAACTCCCGGTACCCAAGTTGCCCCACAGCATATAGAGCTCCCTGATGTGCATGCAGGAGGCCCCTTGTTCAGTCCCAGGCCTTTCTTGGGTAGGGCTTGGAAAGACCCTGGAGAGCCATGCCCAGTTAGTGCAAATTGCATTGGTCTTAGGTCCCCAGGACCAGTTCCTCTGAGCAATGTGGCTCTAAGGCCTAAAGGGAAAGAATTTCCTCCATGGCTACCTCCTGTGGCCTTGGAAGGGGCCCTGAAACACCTCATACCAAGAAGTCTTTGGGCAGGCAGGTTGAAAGTGGGCATATGCAGGCCTTGGCAGTAAACATTGGGCAGGCATTTAGTTCTAGGTCGGAATACTCATTTCCTAGAAGAAGTGGATCTAATAAATAAGAGGGAGCACCTTGTATAAGTGTGGCTTGTGAGCCTGAATAAATTCTGTGGGCTCTGAAGCTAGATTCCTGCTACCACAGTTGCTTCCACTTTTCAAAAAACCCCTGCATCAAACTATCTTCATAAGAGAGCCAGCTGGCCTGACATCAGCACCATTATGGAGCAAATTCCAAGGATCATTCACATGAAACATGGAAACATAAAAACACAGTGAGTCAGAAAGGACCTCCTGGGCCATCTAGTCTGACCCCGGCTCCAGCCAGCTCTGCTCATGACATGCCTACCATGTGCATGTCCAGCCTATCCATGAACACCCTCACCAATGGGGCTTCAACCACCTCCTGTGGAAGCCCATTCCATACCCTCGGGGTCCTAACTGTCAGGAAGTACTTCCTGGCATCTAAATTGAACCTTGGTTCCCTGAGCTTCTCTCCACTGAGACGTGTTCTGCTCAACATTGCAGGGGAAAACAGTCTACCCACCTCCTTCTCGATCTAGAAGCCACACTTCTGGCTATGCAGCCAAGGGTGGCATTCGCCCTGTTGGCCACCGCATCACACTGCTGACTCCTGTTTAGCCTGCAGTCAACCAGTACCCCGAGGTCCCTTTCACAAGTGCTGCTCTCCAGCCACTTGTCACCTAACCTGTACTTATGACAGCTATTCCTATGCCCCAAGTGCAAGACCGAGCACTTGTCCACATTGAATGCCATCCTGTTGTCTCCTGCCCACTTCCATAGTCTGTCCAGATTCTTCTGGATTTGCTCCTTAGTTGTGACCACCGCCACCATTTTTGTATCATCTGGGAATTTGATCAGTAGACTGGTCACCCCCTCTTCCATGTCATTGATGAAAAGATTGGACTGAATTGGTCCCAGGATAGAGCCCTGGAGGCTCTATCACCAGCTGGCATCCTGATGATTTCCCACTAAAAGTAACCCCCTGCTTTTGGTCGGTCCAGCAACCATACCCTAATCCACTGGATAGTGCATCAGTCTATCCCAAAACTCCTCAGTTTCTCAACCAAGATATCATGCATCCAGGGTCTCAAGCTGACTCGGTGAGCGATAGCATCCCCACACTGTCAGGTCCATCCCTCCATCAAGACCCTTTCGGTTTACCCATACTGCCTCTACCAGATCTCCATCTGCACCACTCTATCTCCTTGCATCCTATCCCTTCCCTGACATATATGCCCCCTAGTCTGTCTATTGTGTGTGTGTGACACATATGACACTACACCCGCTCCCCTCTTTCCCTTCCTGTCTTTTCTGAATAGGACATATGTTTTCCTTCCAAACCTGCCTTTCATCCCACCAAGTTACTGTGATCCCCACCCAGTTATACCTTCCTATTCCCAGGAGACCCTCAAGCACTACCTGCTCATTTCCCATGCTTCTTGCATTACATGCATCTCAGTTCCTTTCCAGAAATCCCATTTTCTGGGTCCCCCAGCCCCCTCCTTCTTCCCTTCTTCTCTCATACCAACACTCTCTTCATAGGAGTTCCACCTGCCCCTGCATTACCTCCAGCGCCCTGGCCCAGAAACTCTGATCCTCTCCCCTCACTTGTCTAATCAGGACAGGATTTGTGGGGGGGGGGGCTGAGCCCACCGCCCAGCTCAGTTTGAAGCCTTCTTGATGAAGCTTGCTAGAGCATCTTTGAAAGATCTCTCCATCCTTGTGAGGTGCACCCCCTCCCTTGCCAAAATCCACTGGCAAGGAAGAGGGTGCCATGATCAAGGAACCCAAAGCATCCCTTCCAACATCACTCCTTGAGCCAGTCATTCACCTCCACAACTCTCCTTTCCCTAATTGGCCCAAATCCCCAACAGACAAGAGAGAGAAAAAAGGCCACCTGGGCCCTTAGGTCCTTGAGTTTCTTGCCTAGAGCCTCAAAGTCCCTAGTGATCCCATCTACCCCTTGCCTGGCTGTGTCATTCATCCCCTCATGGATCACCAGAGCAGCTGGTGACCTCCGAGGGAAGAAACACAGAAACAGAGTGAGTCAGAAGGGGTCTCCTGGGCCATCTAGTCTGACCTCCGGCACCAACCGGCTCCGCTCATGACATGCCCACCATGTGCATGTCCTGCCTAACCTTGCACACCCTCACCAATGGGGCCTCAACCACCTCCCGTGGAAGCCCATTCCACACCCTCGGGATCCTGACTGTCAGGAGCAGAAGGTGCCATACTTTCTCTGTCACATACTGGATGCGTGCGCCCGGCAAGCAACAGACCACCCTCGCCTCAAGGTCAGGGCAGCACACTGCTGCCTCAGTGCCCCTCAGCAGGGAGTCCCTCACGATGATCACCTGTGGCCGTCTCTTCCTAGTAGCAATAGATGGCCATGCCTTGGCCCTTGCCACTCCTGCAGTGGCCCCCTGGCTACACCTGGCCCCAGGCTGAAGTTCCCGAACAGGTCAGTCCCCGAGGTTATCATCACCCTGAGCCTCCCCAAGCAGAGAAAACCTGCTTCCCACCTCCAGGTCAGTGCAAGGGTTAGGGATAGGGTGACATGTCTCCCTTGGCCCCTCCCTCATCCTTCTGCCTGGAAGGGGGCTGCTCCCAGTTGGCCTGGGGAGCTCTCTGAGCCATGCCCAGGAATTGCTCAGCCTCCCTTATCTCCCAAAGGGAGGATAGGGCATCCTCCAGCCCCCTCACCTTCTCCTCCAGGAGGGACACCAGCTTGCACCTAGAGCAAATGTATCCCTGCTGTTCCCGACGGAGATGGACAGACATGACACAGGTGTTGCATTCGACAGCAACACCTGTGGCTTCCACCATGGCTGGCATAGGCTTCCACCATGCCCTGGCATAGGCCACCCCTCGCAGGTCTTACCTTCTTCCCCCACCTTGTCTGCCCTACACTACCCTTACCTGACTTTCCTCAGACAGAATGATATAAGAAAAACAAAACAAACAAACAAAACTACAGCAACAACAACGACGACCTAGGGCAGTGGTGGCGAATCTGTGGTATGCATGCCGCAGCAGGCGCGCAGAGCCCTCTCTGTTGGCACGCGAGTCAGGTTGCCCCACCATCACCCCAGCAGCCGAGCATCGGGTAACAGCGCACACAGGGGCCATGCGCACACTCGGAAAGGAGTAGCGGCGCCAGGCGATGACGTCACACACCGTGACTCATTTGCCATTCCTCGTCTGGGCTTTCGTATGGCCGGTCAGTACACTGCCAAGGATATATATATGCTTGCTTGGACTGGCTGTGAGTTGCTTTTTCTAAACTAAAACCTCAGTAGTCAGGTTTTATTGCAGTGTTGGGTTTTGGGTTGCAGTTTGGGCACTCGGCCTCTAACAGGTTCGCCATCACTGACCTAGGGGAAGAGTGTGCCTGGGCAGCTGGGGCCGCAACTAAGGGACGGCGCCCAACAGACGAGGGTGGACTAACAAGCCTGCGAGGCCGCTGGCCCCGCCCCCTCTATCTCCTCCTGGGCCTCTCTGGCCTCTCTAGCCCAACCTCCCTTTGTCTCCACTGTTCCTGCCTGCCCCCCCATTCTCTGCCCAAGCTCCTACCTTGCCTTTGCCAGTTGCCTGGCCACTCTTTCCTCACTCTCCCAGCCTCTGCTGCTCTGGCAAGATCCAAAAGAAGAAAGGGCATGTTTATAAAGAACACATATGGGTCAGCACTCCAAAGAGATTTTTGTTATTACAGCAACCCTTTATTATTTTTTTAAAAATAAGTGGTCATTGAAGGGCTCATTGTTACTCCTAGAGGAATTCTGGAAAAAATTAGATGTCAGCAGCTCTTCTCCATTTGGTTAGTCATCTCTTCCACCAGCACGTTCCACCCCGTCATTTCTGCTGCTTTCAAGCTCGTGTCATAAAGAGATGTTAACAGTCAACATTACTGAGCAAACGGGGGGTCACTTCTTAAAGAGTTAATTTATCCTGGATCAAAGCAGAAGATGGAGGGCCAAAGGCACAGATCACCTTTTTAAAAAAATACAGTGAAACAGGCATTTATTGCAAGAAGCGGCATTATTTGGAAAGGTTTTGCAACTTGGGCAAACTTGTGAATCAACCTCCCCATCACCGAAGAGTTAAAATGATGGCCATGGGTGACCTTGTTTGATCAACTGATGGCTATAGATTGCTGTCCCAAATATCTATTATCAACTCTCCTTTCATAGTCTTGCATCTCTTTTCATTTCAGTTCATTTCTATACTTCAATTTATTTGCTGTATTCAGTTTTTTCAAGTTTCTTTTCAATTTTTTTCAGTTTCCTCCCCCTCCCCGGTTAAAAAATAAAAATGGGGGAAATTGAGCATTTTTGAAAGGTAAATAACAGAGTGCATACACTGTATCTATGCTTCTTAGGATCCCAGACATGGTGTTCTACATAATATTGTTAATTTTTTGAAACTATATTCATAATTTCAAAAATATGAATATGCTCTTCCTCCTTATCTTTTAAATGGTCCTCACTGCAGTAGTTAAGACTTCAACCTGAGGAGTGCATCCTGGAAGAAGCCTTTCTTTTGCTCCAGACAGAGGAGTGAGAAGGAGGGAGGGAGAAGACCAGGCTGTGGGAACCTCTCTGCTTTGACTCTTCATCCTTCCTCAGCATCCAGTTGTGTTCTTTCTTTTCTTCCAAGACGCAAATGCCTGGCCTGACTCTTCAGAGGCTGCCTCATGTCACAGCTCCGTTGCTGTCACTCTTGAGAACAGGGACCTTTGGGTCAAGTTCCACCAAGTGGGCACAGAGATGATCATCACCAAGGCTGGCCGGTGAGCTCTGTGTGATTTTGTCCTCTTCAGAAGAGTCTCTGAGGCAAAAGAGCCTCCACTGCCAATTGTCACATTTGGAAGGAGCACCTCTCCTGATACCAGTCTTTGCTCTTAAACCATATTATTCTGTCCAGGGAACAGTTCAGGAACTCCTTTCTCTCTGTCTTGACCATTTCATTTATATGCTTGTTTGCAGGCTTTAGACTTTCAGACTCTACTGCCATTCATTCTACTGCCTGGTTTTGCAGTAATAGCCAGACCCAAGCCCAGGCTTCATCAGCTCATTCCCGGGCATCTTTTAAGCATGATCCTGGGCCCAACGTGCCTAGTCCTGACCCTGTCGTAAAATAAGGCCTTTCTCAGAACCCCATCCTGTAGCAACGAAAGATGTCACCTTTCTCCACTCTTCACTTGTTTCCAAACAAACTATGGAAGGGGAATCCGTCATCAAAAAGTCTGGTGTCACTCTGAGTTTTGGTTCCCTCAGGCCCCATAGTAGGAACAAGGGTTGTCTGGCCCTTCTGATGTTGGAGGACTGCAACTCCCATCAGTCCTCACCAGGGATGATGAATGTTGCAGTCTCAGCAGCATCTGGAGGGCCACATGTTTCTCATCACTGTAGTTTGGAGACTACAGAAAGGCTACCCCATGCAGGATCCTGGTGAGAAGAGAGTGAAGCCTGTGGCAGTTCTGGGAGTACAGACCACAGGAATCTCTCCCCTTTCCTCTTCCTTTTTAGTTTCTCATTCTTTAAATGGTGCATCCTGACAATTAGAGTTTAATGCTGCCGGCGTGGACCTTGAATACACAAGCCATCAGCTGGGACCAGGTGCTCTAACAGAGCCATCTTTTCCTCTTCTGCAGGCGAATGTTTCCACAGTGCAAGATCAGAGTTACTGGCCTGGTCCCTTGTGCCAAATATCTCATGTTAGTCGACTTTGTGCCAATTGACAACTTCAGGTACAAGGTAAATGCTTTTCCCAACGGGATCTTGGTGGATCCCATTGCACCATGGCAGTCTGAGTCTGGCCTTGGAGGGGGCTTATTTTAAACCAGGAGCAACACTTGTTTTGTCTAGCTTTTAAACCAGGGAGGGAAGAAATTCACCTGCTCGGTTAACAAAACAAGAACAGGTACGCAGTCTTTGGAACTGCTTGGATAGCAACATCCTACCTTAAGAACCCCAGGCAAGTATTTGTATTTATTAATATGTGTTTGGTATCTATACCACCCAATAGCTGGCGCTCTCTGGGCAGTTTACAACACATAAAATACAATATAAAATGCAAACAACGTTAAAAACTTCATTGAAAAGTTATCAGACAAGGCTGTCAAGTCGTAGGATGTGACCTTCCCACATTCTAAGGCAGCTGGTTGCTAATGCCTTGTCTGCTTATACTTAATTTGTACAGCCATATTTCCCAGGATCCAGAGCACTTTTTTAATGGCAAAAGAAAGGCATGGATCCTTGCTGTGCCCACAGAGTTTACCCCTTTTGTGTTTGTGGTTGCTGCATCTTGCTGCACACCTGTTGTGCGTGTGCCCAGTTGGTCACCTCTGTGCCTCAGGTTTGTGGGCAGGATTTCATTGTTGTGAGGCACGAATGCAAGGTCAGGCACAGACGCAAAAGGCTCCTCTGCCACAGGCAAGTATGTTCGCTTTGCAAGAGCTTTCAGTGGTTGAATTTCCAAAGTGGACTTTGAGAAAGATGCCCATTTAAATTTTCCTCACAGCACAGCTTGCAGGACAATGTTGTGGGGAGTGCAGGTCAAGCAGGGGGAGCCCAGCTGGCAGTCCTGTCAACTCTGAGCTGCTTAGGAGCACTCAGGCTGGCTTGCAAATGACATGTTTCTCTCTCCCTGCCGTCGCCAGTGGAACAAGCACCAGTGGGAAGTCGCTGGCAAAGCAGAGCCCCAGCCACCCTGCCGGACGTACGCCCACCCAGACTCCCCTGCACTGGGCAGTCACTGGATGAGGGAACCAGTTACCTTCCAGAAGCTCAAGTTGACCAACAATACCTTGGACCAGCAGGGCCACGTGCGTATGCTAAGAGGGGAGGACACCTTTGGGCAGTGAGAGAGAGGGAGGAATGGGAGGAGGGGGCTGGGATGCATTGCTGAGCAGAAGCCACAGGAGAGTCCTGTGCAGGCCTTCCTGCGATGCTTGAAGGTGAGCTGGCCAGCTGCCTCCCCTGCTGCCACCCTCAATGGCCCCCAAAATTTGGCATCTGAGTGAAGTCCCCACAATCATGAGAAGGAGCATTCCTGGAGAGTTTGTGGCCTTTTCTCTACTGGAGACATTCAAGATGCCGTTGGGCAGCCTTTTGTCAGGGATGCTTCAGCTTGGAGTCCTGCACTAAGTTGGGGTTGGACCTGATGGGTCTCTTGCACCTCTCCTCTTATAGGATTATGTGAATCATTCTTAAACATTAAATCATTCTTAAGCCCATCCCCCGGGGGGTAGTGTCCAGCTCCCCACTCTCTTGACCCCACACCCTGCTCCCCTGAATGCCACCATGAGAATTTATTTTTCTCCTATTTTCACTTTGGACTACCTTTGCTTTCATCTCCCTGATCTGTTTTGGCCACCGTCTTGGTTCCTCCAGATCCACCTGAGAACCTTCTGTAGAGGGGCTGCTCAAGAAATTAAAGGCCAATTTCTTGAGCAGGCAAGGTACTTCTTTGCCTCTTCTGCATTTATTACGTAGTCCTGGACTGTCAGGTAGAATGGTTGAAAGGGGCATCGGACACTTTTAAAGGTAAAATCTGAGCATCAAGTGAGCGTCCAAGTACCAGAAGCTTAGATCCCAATCCTTCAGGAGTGTAGCAGTCAGCAGGCAGAAAAGGGCTTCTCTGTATTCCACCAGACTCACAAAAATATGACTGTTGGGCAGGTCTGAAAGTGGCTTCTGGGGTGAGGTCTTCCAAATTAATCTCTCTCTTTTCTCCCCTCACTAGGTCATCCTTCATTCCATGCATCGCTATAAACCTCGCTTTCATGTCATGCAGGCAGATGACTTATTTAATTGGAGCATCTTCCAGACCTACAGCTTCCCAGAGACAGTTTTTACTTCTGTCACTGCATATCAAAACGAGAAGGTGGGATGTTTGTGCACGCGCAAACAGAAATGCAGCCCAGTGTTAGCCTTCAAACCACATGAGGTTGATAGCGGAGGCAGGAGGAAGAAGTGGCAGCAATGTGGCTTCTGCAACTTCAAGCCAAACCTTGGCCTGGCTTCCCCCACGCAGTCCAGATGTCACGCTCTCCAACTTTTCACTGCCACAGTGGCTTTTCCACTGGTGGTCTGCATTTAAAATGGACAGTGGTTTAAGTCTGGACATACCCTGCTATACAGCAACATCCAACAGCTCCCACTTTGCGCCAGACATCTGCTTGTCCAGACACACATTTCAAACAAGGACAGCCCTGGAAAGCTCCTGGCCCAGGTGGTGGTGCAGGCTGTCAGTGCAGTGCACTATTGCTTACCTGTGGCTCTACGTCTTGTATGGTTTATAACTCCAAGCATTCCCCAGCTTACAACATTTCCATACTGAGTCCATCATGTGGCGTGTGCCAGGCTGGGGAAGCCCGTTTTGATTAAAATGGGGCACAAAGGACTAAATAGTGTGTTGTGTGACACACAGAGCACATGGAGACCCTGACTTCCTTTTTACCTCCCAGTGAGCAAAGGCTGGGAGTGCCACGCATGGGCACGGGGTTTTAGCCTTCCCATGTTCTCCCAAAGGAGAAAAAGGGCTTCCCCTTCTTTGAGTTGTTGTGCAGGGTGGAGAGGTGTGAATTTAGGTGGGAAAATTGGCTGTGTGGCAAGTTTTAAGTTTGATGCAGACGGGGGCCCTGTACACCTAAGGAAAGCCTGCAAGAAAGGAGAATCTGCGCAGGGCTCTTGGCAAAGGCCAAGGGCAAGCATGCGTTCTTAACACTCTGTTAGGAACAAAGACCTATAGGATGTAAAGAGCACTGAGGGGTTTTATTTTATTGGATTTATTGGATTCTGTGCTTCATTTTATTCTGTTTTCATTGTAGACTGTCCTGAGACTAGAGTAGTCGGACAGCATATAAAAGCTTTAAATGCATGCATCTGTGCATACATAAAGTGCTCTGTGTAAGCAGGACATAAGAACATGTCTACATGTGTTCTGGGTCACTGTCATCCCTTTGCATTTATTTGCAAAGGCAGAACTATGGACCTGAATCATGATGAAAATACAATACCAGGGTGAAACACTGTCCCAGGAGAAGGTGAGATGGGTTTGGGTGTTGACTCCAATCTGCATCTCTCTCTTTGAAGATCACAAAACTCAAGATCTACAACAATCCATTTGCTAAGGGTTTCAGAGAACATGGGAAGAATTCACGCAGGTAAGGCTGGGTACTTTCCAGGTAACCCCCACCCCCAGGCTAGCAATTGCAGTGCTGCTTGCATAGAACTGTCTAGCTAGTTTCCGGGTTTGCTTCACCGAATGATGGCAACAGCAGCTTTCTCCTGGCAGGATTGTCTGTCAGTCTGGGCAGCTGCACTTTGTAAGCAGCCCCTTCGGCTGGCTGCTTGTTCTTCAGCCATTGCACAGCCTTTCTGTGAACAGCACTGTAAGAAGGAACAACCTGTGGGTTCCCCTTGTGAGGACACTGCATTGGTCATCATCCAGCAGGATTTGGAAGTGCTCCAGAGCCTGAAGTGCTGCCTTTAAAAAGGCTCTTTTGCAGGGAGGGGAGAGCCCAGCAGAGCAGCCCAGGCAGAGGTCTGAAGAGGACAGTGACAGAGGAATGCAAATCTAGTCTGCGGGAGCCAGGTAAGATGATTGTGAGGGCTGTTGCTGGGCCACAGCCTTGACTGGTAAAAGCTGCCTGGACATCATTTGAGATAGTTGGATCCTCTCCTGTGGAGGGAGCACACGTTAGCACCAGTGGCTGGTGAAGCAGACTTTTACACTTACTTGGCTTGAGAGGTGGTGTGTGATGTCCTTCCTGCAGCTGGAGGCATCATGCAGGGCATGCAGAAAGCTCCTGGTATGGCCCCACAGCTCCTCCAGACCGAGCAGGCAAAGGGCCTGGGGTTCCAGAGAGCCCCTGCAGCAGTCAGGACAAGTGGGCCTGGGCGGGACAGGCAGGAGGCTGCTAGTGCTCGGTGTCCTGATAACATTTCCACAAAGCACCAAGCAACTGTGACCTGCATGGGGGCAGCATTTCCTTTTGGCCCAAGGCATGAACCAGCCCCACCAACGGTGCAGGCACGGTCTGAGTGTTGCCGTGAGCACAGGAGATTTTGACAGTGACTAAGTTGAAGGATAAAAGGTAATTTGCAAGATGTGCTTTAAAACAGTTTTTCTTTTCTTCATTGTGTTTTAATAATGGAATTCAAATAACCCTTTGAATTATTAAATGCTCTTTTTTTTTCTTAAAAACCCACTTATCCACAAAAGCAGAGATGGTAACATTAAGTGACTGTTACAATTCAGAAATTTCTGACTGGGGATTCTTCCCCTCCCACCACCATCTTTTAGAGTGAGCTGAATATTACAGCTTGTAGACCTGAGTCCCACTGCACAAGCAGTCCTGAGCTCAAAAACCTCTGTTGCTGCTGGCTCTGGAAGCGTGCTGGCCTGAGCAACCTAGCAGGCACGCATATTTTATTTATTTATTTGGGTATTTTTACCCCATCCAAAACCCTGCGGGTCTCTGGATGGCTTACAACTCAGATCCAACAAATACATATATACCCAAATAATACAAACAATCCAAGAACAGAGCATAAAACATAGTTAAAATATTAATCATTAAAAGTATGGAAAAATTAAAAGGTCTTGACCTGGCACCAAAAAGCATATAACATTGGCACCAGGCGGACCTCTCTGGGGAACGCATTCCATAGCTGGGGTGCCACTACAGAGAAGGCCCTCCTCCGAGTATGTTCTCTCCTGACCTCCTTCAGGGAGGGTTCTCAGAGCAGGGCCTCTGCTGCAGGTCTTAAGGGGTGGAAGGGCATATAGGGGAAAAGACGTTCCTTTAGGTATCCAGATCCCAAGCCGTTTAGGGATTAATACCAGCACCTTACATTGGGCTCAGACTTCAATTGGAAGCCAGTGAAGCTGATAGAGGACCAGCATTATATTAGAATAATGACCAGCCTCCGACAGCTATCTGGCAGCTCTGTTCTGAACCAGTTGAAGTATCCAGACTGTCTTTAAGGGCAGGCCCACATAGAGCACGTTACAGTAATCCAACCGGGAAGTTACCAGACCGAGTGTCACTGTTGCTAGGGAATGCTTGCTTAGGTAAGGACGCAGCTGATGGATCAGCCGAAGCTGAAAGAAAGTGTTCCTTGCTGCCACCCTGGGCCTCCAGGGACAGCTCCCTGAGGACCCTGTGGATCCTGTCCTTTAGAGGGAGTGCAACCCCATCCAGAACAGGGCGAAAATCACTTACTTGAAAACCTGAACCACCTACCAAAAGGACCTCCATCTAATCTGGATTGAGCTTCAGTTTATTGGCCCTCATCCAGCCCATTACCTCGGCCGGGCACCGGTTCAGGACAGCCACTGCCTCACCTGGATTAGTTGTAAGAGGGGTAGAGCTGGGTGTCACTGGTGACTCTGCAGCCCAAACCTCTTTATGACCTCTCCCAGCAGTTTCATGTAGATGTTAAATAGCAAGGGGGACAAAATGGAACCCTGCGGAACTCCATGGTGGAGCTGCCATGGCACAGAGCCATCAACCCCCAGCATCACCTTCTGGAATCGGCCAGTCAAATAGGAGTGGAGCCACTGCCAAGCAGCGCCTCCTACTGCCAAAGAGGTCAGCCTATCCAAAAGGATACCACGGTCGATGGTATTGAAAGCTGCTGAGAGGTCCAGGAGGACCAACAGGGATGCACTCCACCTGTCCCTCTCCCTGCACAGGTTACCATACAGGGCGACCAAGGCAGATTCAGTACCGTAACTGGGTCTGAAACTGGACTGAAATGGGTCCAGATAATCAGCTTCATCTAAGAGTGCCTGGAGTTGTCCTGCTACCACCCACACCAACACCTTGCCCAAGAACGGAATGCTGGCTACCAGTCTATAATTGGTGGCCACCTTTGGGTCCAAGGATGCCTTCTTCAGGACGGGCCTGATCACTGCCTCCTTGAAAGGTGTAGGGACCTGACGCTCCCTCAGAGAAGCATTACTGACCTCCTGGACCCAGGAACCAATACTGTGTTTGGCTTTGGTAAGTAGCCAGGAAGGGCAAGGGTCGAGCAAGCAGGTGGTAGGGCGTACCAGTCCAAGCACCTTGTCCACATCATCAGGTTGCATCACCTGGAACTCATCCAACAATGATGGACCAGACGGGGCTCTGGATGCTTCCTGTAATGGAACCCTATCAACTGTGGAATCCAGCTCGTGACGAATATGACCAATTTTTTCCTTAAAATGCTGGGCAACATTGTCACTATGGGCTCTTGATGGTGCCACTGGATCTTTTTTAGGGCCAGAATGTATTAGGCCATGTGCCACTCAAAAGAGCTCCACTGGATGGCATTGTGAGGAGGCAATGCAAGCAGAGAATAATTTCTTCTTCGCCACCCTCACCGCTACAGCATAGGCCTGATAATGAACACGTAGGCATGTTCGGTCAGATTCATCCTGTGATTTCTTCCACCTGCATTCTAGTCTTCTCCCAGCCCACTTCATTGCCCGCAACTCAGGTGTATACCATGCCGATGAGTGGGCTCTGCCTGACGGGAGAGGACACTTAGGAGTGATCCTGTCAATTGCCCTGGTCATTTCCCCATTCCACAAATCAACCAGAGTGTTGACAGGAGCACCAGCTTTATCAACTGGAAAATCCCCCAGAGCCTTCAGGAATCCATCAGGATCTATACAGCTCCGGGAGTGGACCATCTTAATAGGGTCCTCACCCTTACAGAGGGAAAGGTCAGCCCCCAGCTCAAACCTCACAAAGAAGTGATCTGACCATGACAAAGGAATTAAACACAAGTTCCAGATCACTATCACAGATCCAGAGTGTGACCTCTTTCATGGGGTGGGCCAGTGACATGTTGAGGCAGCCCCATGGCTGTCATGGAAGCCATGAAGTCCTGAGTCCACCCCCCAGTCAAAACTGCCTTGGCATGGAGATTGAAGCCCCCCGGAACCAATATCCTGGGGGTCCTCAACACCAGGTCTGAGATGATCTCTGTCAGCTCAGGTAGGGAGTCTGATGGGCAGAAGCACCCAACACCAGGTATAAACAATCTAGACCTGGTCTTGAGGGGACCATAAGCCCTGTGAGGGAAAGGGAAATTGAGGCTCGATGAACCAGGGCGACCCCACTCCCCCCATGGCATGGCTGGTGCTGGATCAGGTACCTGGGTGGGCACAGCTGAGCAAGGGAGACATCTCCCCCCTTCTCCTGCCCAGGTATCCATAATGCACACCAGATTGGCTGCTCATCCATGATTAAATCCATGATTAAATCATGGATGAGGGATGTTTTATTATGGACTGATCTGGCGTTAACCAACAGCACCGTCAGGCCCGAGGGGCAGTTGATAAAACTACCAGGAACCCTCCGGCTGGGGGAATAACCAGAAGAGGGGACAGATATGAGGCATCCTTAGTTGACTTGTTAGACCCCCACCGCCATATCTTCCCCTGCCCATTACCACCCCAATGGTGGCGCCCTCACGCTCCCCAGGCACACCCATAACAAAAACCTAGCAATAAAATACAGCTCAGTCATGGTATACAATAAAATACATTAACATTAAAAATCCCCAACCACCCCCCCCCCCCCCACAAACAAAAGAACAAAGTCCCTGGCACAGCCCTTCACAACCCCAAATGGCTCAGCACCCTTAGGTCAATGCCTGCCCCCCCAGCGCACCTGCCACTTATGCTGGGAGTAGAGGCAGTCGGAGCAGTGAGGGTGGGCCCATGGGGAGCTCACTGGCAGCAGCAAAGGGGAAGGAAGGAGGGGGAGGGGGAGGAAAATGGTGCCGTGGTGGCGGCGGCATCGTCCTGGCCTTCGCAGTGTCCCCAGTCTCGCAGCAGTGATGCATGATTCTGCTCCTGATGCATTTCCAACTCAGTTTGTTGGCAACATGCAAACTGGACCTTAACAATTTATTTCTTATTCTAGCTTGAGCGTTCTTTCCAAAAATAGCTTTGTTTGCAATTACTGTAAAGATTGCCCTGTTTTTGATATATCTGATAAGACCGGGGTCTGTCCTTGGCTGGAGACTTGGCCGTGGGACTGGGGGAGCATGCAGGATTCAGAGCTTGCATAGGCAGATGTTGTGCGAGGATTTGAAATCCATGCCCACTTGATTGAACATGTGAGAGAGCCCTCAGAATGTTGGAAGATTTGACATTCTGTATCACTTCTAGTTTTAGCCATGGGCTAAAAGAGTTTTGTGACAAGGCCGTGCAGATTCTGCTCCCACAAAAAGCTGGCACCCAGCCATCCTGCCTCGCATGCGGTTAGAGGCTTGAACTGGTGATATGGCTGTAGAAGCGAATTCAGACAGGCAGCTGGCCAAATGTGGCTTTCTTTCTGCCCCATGTCAGCTCTTGCTAAGGATGAGCACATTGAGGTGATGAAGAAGGACTGCAGCAACCTAATCAGCACCAGCAGCAGGTGCTCCCCCTGGCACTTGGATCAGAGCAGCCGCCTTCCCGCCCTCCCGCAGGCAGAGCAAAGAGCCCTGATGAGCCCAGAACAGCCAGCCCCACTGCCTCCAGCCGCAGCCTGTAGCACCGCCTCTGCCCAAGCTTACAGGCAAGTGCTGCTCACCCTCCCAGCAGAGAAGAAAGGGAGCAGGTGGGCACATTCCACCATTGCCCGGTGGACAATTTGTCTGGATACAGAGATAAACTTTGATTTGATGGAGGACTGGGGGGAAATCATGAGAATCCATGTTTCTGCTCTCAGCAGGGCGGGAAAGCTTCAGTCTATGACTTCTGTGGTTGAGAAGGCCCTGTGTGCATTTAAGGAACACTACCTAAGTGATTCTGTATTTTTTCACAACCTAAATTTGCTTCCAACATCTTGTAAGTAGATTTTTTAACATCACTGGTAGTAATAAGGACACTCCCAGGACTATTTACAAAGCCTTGCAACATCAGTATTCTTCCCACCAGATGGACAATCTACCAAGTAGTCTACATACCCATCACAAACATGTCTAGGCCAGAATTTATTTCCCCACAAGTCCCTCCACACTTCCAGGAGGCATATCTTCAGCATGAAAACATTTGTCTTCTCTAATCCCTTCTAAGGGATTTCCCTTTTTTCTCAGGATGACCTGTTTCTCTAGGACCCCCATGCTGACAGAGGAACTGTCGCTCAGGAGTTGGGCTCCCAACGTTTTTGTACAGCAGCCCTGTCCAGATCAGCATCCCTGGCTTCATGGGAAGGCATCTACTGCACAAGTGCCAGCAGCTCCCTGGACTGAACCTAGGGCTTCCACAGGAGGTGGTTGAGGCCACATTGGTGCGGGTGTTCAAGGACAGGCTAGACATGCACATGGTAGGCATGTTGTGAGTGGAGCTGGCTGGAGCCGGGGGTCAGACTAGATGGCCTGGGAGATCCCTTCTGACTTACTCTGTTTTTATGTTTCTAACCCTGACAACAAATTCAATAAGCAGGCAGTCATTCCTGTGGAACTTAGTGCAATATATTAGAGCCCACACACCTGAGTTATTTACTAGGCGAAGGCAGGGAATTTACATAGTTATTGACCGGGAGAAAACAGGGAAGAGTTGGCCTCCCTGGCTTGCTGTATTGCTAAGCCTGCACAAGTGCTTAACAGTGCTGTTAAGCAAAGATCTGTACTAAGAGCTTTTTGTTTTACCTTGACACCTGGTCACTGTGATATTGTGAGGTCACTGGTGATCTCAGTGAGATTGATTAGGAAATGACTGGATCATGCAATTGTAGGAACAGAGGGTAAGTAAAGAGTTAAGTGGCCAAACAGGTTGATTAGCAAAGCTTCAGCATGCAGAAAGTGTTGTAGGCCTGGCACTTTGACAAAGTCTACCCACACTGCTAGCCTCTTTTCCATCATCAACACACTGGCTCTATCACAGCCCGTTAGGTTGCCCTCTAGATGTTTTGGACAACTCCTACTTGCTCCAGCCAGGAATAATAAGAGTTGTAATCCAAAACATCTGGAGGGCATCAACTGAAAAAAACTCATGCTATAACTCCTTGGTCCAAAAGTAAACACAGCTAATCAAAGTGGGCTATTTCTTCAAATAAGATTACCAGGTCTTTATTATCTTCCCTCCATTTCTTCCCCTCATCCCCAGGTTCCATGAGGCAAGTGATAAATCCATGCAAGTCCCACTTTGTGACACCATTTCTTTAAGTGAATTTTGGACCAGATCATACCATCTGGATTTTTCCATGGTTCCTGAACAAGACTCCAAACTACTTGAAGGTTTCCACACAAATCTGCCATCTGTTTCCACTTCTCTTCCAGCACTGCAGGACTACTCTGGGATGGTTAGCAATATTGCAGACCCCCCTGGCAAACCAGGACCACAGAGGTCAATGTGCAGCCCATATGCTCGGGACCGAGCCCTCAGTCAGTGGATGGTTCCTACACACAGTGAATACAGGGCCATGAGTTCCTCTGCGTTTTCTGCAGACTTCGGTGCACAGAGTTCTGCTGGAAGCCACATGGGAGACTGGAGCCAATGCCCCTTGTTCTCTTACGCTTGCTGGTGAAAGTTGGGCAAGGAGGCAATTTCCTACATGGGAGAGGAATATTGGGGACAGATGCGAGTATCAGCTAGAGTTCTGCCTTACAGGAACAGCTTTTAGATCATGGCAGCTCCTTGCATTAGTTTTACTCACTTAACAGCAGCCACCCTAAACTTTGTTAATAGATCCTTCAGAATTTGTGTGGAAGCTCCAGCTTGGACTTTGCATCGGTGTCACTCCCGTCCTTCACACCTTGCTTTTAATGAAATGGTAGAATGCTCTGTTCCATTCTTAAAAGCTCACTTACCTCTATCACACACACAAACGGGGAGAAAGGGCTCTGTGCGCACCGAGGAATGGGGTATGTGTCTCAGTTTCTCTCATTACGAGGGTCCCCTCCCCTTATATTTGACTGAGTTGGGAGTGACTGTTGACTGTTCAAGTGTGGGGTTGGGTGTCTGTTGACTCAGTGATTCTGAGCTAATGCAGATAAGTTAGATACAGATTGTGTCTCCAAGACTGCACATAATGTGGACTTTGAAGGAAGTAGGCGATGTCTTTGCCATTCTATCTATTTCACATGTCCCTCTAACATTCCTTTTGAGCATAAATCCTGAGCAACAGACAGGAAGGTTTCTGGCAAAGTCTGTCATTTGCTCAAAATTATCTGGCTAGGTTTGTTGTACTGCAGGGACTGCACATGTTGCATTATAAAGAACTAGCAAGGGGCTTGGTGGGATGTTCCCCATGACTGGAATTCAAAGGCAATGCAATCCAAAGGTATAACTTGCTCAAAAAGAACAGAAGAAATAGGAAATGAGAGGGATTTGCATTAGATATTAAATTCTTAAAAATATAAATAAGTTAAAAAATTAAAATGCAGGAAGATGAGCCTGGTAGCCCCCTAGAGAGGATCTGGGTTGTGATAAATCCAATGGATGTGCTATTGGTTGAGGTCTGATTGATGAATTAGATGGCCATTGTTCTGCCTTGGATGGGATTGCACTTGCCTAAAGGACAGCGTTTGCAACTTGGGAGTGCTCCTGGACCCAAAATTTTCACTGGAATCTCAGGTGGACTTGGCAAGGAGTTGCCTTGTGTAAAATAATGCTGGGTGCCAATTGAAGCCCAGGCCAAATTTAAAGTGCTTGTTTTAACAAAACCCTAAATGGCTAGGGACCTGGTTACTTGAAGGACCACCTTTTCCAATATACTCTTACTTGTCCATTGAAATCTAGGAATGAGGTCCTTCTGAAAGAACCACCCTTAAAGGAAGTAAAAGCCATGGCAATCAGAAGAAGGGCTGCCCCCCCCCCCCCCGGAACAGGCTTCCTAAAGAGGGTCACTCGGTGCCATCGCTACTCGTGTCTCAGTGCCAGATGAAAACTGTCATCTTTTGCAGGTATTTCGAGACCTGATTTTTACACCTGATTATAAGAACTCATTCTATTCCAGCCCCCTCCACCCCCTGTACTTGAAATTTTAATGTTTAATTAATTAATTGTAATTAATGTATTTTAATGTTAGCTGCCTGGAGAGCCCTGTTGGCTATTCAGCAGCATATAAATGTGAAAATAAATAAATGTGTGAAGGAATAAAAGGAATGTGATAGTTAAGAGTCTACTAGAAAGGACCCAGTCAAGGAGATGAGGACACTTTTGTTCAGCAAACTACTAGTATTTCAAGCAAGTGTGATATGATAGTAATGGGGAAGTTCAGTTACCTGCATGTTTGTTGGGAGACAAATTCTGCCAAAGGTGGCTATTCCAAGAATTCTTGTCATGCACGGCAGATAACTTTCTTCTACAGAAAGTGGAGGAAGGAACTAGACAGTAAGCAATCCTCAACTTAATACTAACAGGAACGATTTGGCAAATAAAAGTGAAAGTTACAGGAACTCTGAGAGAAAATGACCACAACATACTTGAGTTCTTAACTTTAAAGAGAGAGAAAAGCGGAGGGTGCCATGGATTTTGGGAAAGACAATTTTAATAAACTCGGGACGGTGATTAGTAAGGTACTATGGCAAGTGACCCTAAGGAAAAAAGAAGTCCAAGATGGGTGGAAGTTTATAAAAATAAAAATATAAAGGCACAGTTCCATCAATACAAAAGATAGCAGACAACAGAAGAAACTACTGTGGCTCCACAAAAAATTCACGTTGACTTGAAAACAAAAATGGGCATGCATAGGAAGTGGAAGGAAGACCAGGTGACAAAACAAGAGTACAGACAGGTGGCACAGAAGACTAAAGCTGAGTGAGCTGAGGCTAGCAAGGGAAACTAGAAACAAAATGTTCACTGTAAAAGATAGAGAAAAGAAATGGTGGTTTAACTTCTCAATGAAGAGGGCAAATTGGTAACAGATAAAGAAGAGGCCAAAGGAACATGCCTACTTTAGGCCAGGTTTTTTCAAAAGTAGGCCTATGACCTTCCCACCTTGGCAGAAATGGAAGTACAAACTGAAGCTGGATGGCAGCTGGAATACTGTGTTCAGTTCTGAGGCCAAGAAATACAGAAATTAGAAAGGGTCCAGGTGAGGGCAACAAAAATCATCCAAGGTTTGGAAGGACTGTAAGGGATGGGATAGAAAAGCTTTTAATGAAATAAATTAGGAAGGACTGCCCTTTGAGGAGAGAGAGAACTAGGCATGTTCAGCCTTGGGGGAACATGGTATCCCTCTATAAGTACTTCTGCGAAGGGTTATTGGGGCTCACCATCTCCTACCCAGTAGCCAGCCAAGAGGGGTGCACTGTGGGGAGCACAGAGACAATGAAGCTGGCTCCTGGGTCTGCAAAACCTCTGGCAATGAAGTGTTGGGCAGAGGTGTGTTCACAGCCCAAGACTGAGCACTCAGGTGTGCAGGTGCTTTCCTCAGGGAGGGAGCACCTGGAGGAGAGGGTGGAGGTGGTGTGGTGCCAGAGGGATAAAGAGTAGAGCAAGGAAAGGCAGACATGATGTGAGGGGAGTGGAAAGCAGCAGCAGGAAGACAGAGGGAGCGCATGGGTCTCCGGGGGCAAGGAAGGAGCTTGTGCCCTACAGTCTGGGGCAGAGGCAGGGGTCTAAGGTGGACACAGCTCACCTCCCCCCCCACCCCCCGGGAAGAAGAGTGGCTTTGTGGGGAGGTGATGAAGGGGAAAAAAATTGTCCCACCGTGCACATGCATGGGAAGGAGCCAGCAGAGGATTGCCAACATGAAGCCAGGGCACGGGAGAAGCTGATCATAGCTCCTGGAAGCATTGGTTAGCAGTGGGAAAGATGCTGCTCCCTGCCTTAGCCAGTCAAGAGCTCTTTTCTCTGATAGCAGAGTATAGGACATGAATAATCCATTCGAGTTGCGACAACCCAGATTGGGGTTAGGCGAGAGATCAGGAAAAATTACCTCATTGTTAGAGCAATATGTAAGTGGAGCCAGAGGTGGTACGCTCTCCCGCACAAGAGAGACGCAAGGTGACACTGGTCAGCCACCTGAATGGGTGATCTGCAGCAGGAGTAGGTTGGACATGGTGGCATTTATGGCCCCTATTCTATGATTCTATGAGTTCGAGTTTAATAAACACATGGCCAAGGAACACCTAATTTCTTTGAATAAGTTCAGGGCCTGATGAGCTGCATCCAAGAGTAATAAAGAAAATGGAGAAGGACTCTCAGAACCAGAGTCTATTATCTTCCAGAAACCATGGAGCAGGGATAAAATGCCAGATGACTGGAAGAGGTCACATGTCCCTATCTTCAAAAATGAGAATCCTGGGAACTATAGTCCCCTCAAACTGGTATCAATGTCTAGAAAAATTCTGGAGCAAATTCTAAAGCTATCTGTGAACACTTTGAAAACACCTAGAAGCCAACACAAATTTGTCAGGAACAAATCCAAGCGGACTTATCTGATTTTGTTTTTTGATTGGATAACCTCCCTGGTGGACTATGCAGATCCAAGATATCCAGATTTGCCAACCAGCTAAAGTGAGCTAAATGAAACAACTATCGGGTGGTTCTACAGTTGGCTACCGAATCGGACGAGTGCTCATCAATGGTACCTTCTCAAACTGGGGAGAAGTAACAAGCGGGATACTGTAGGGCTATCCCAGGCCCAGTGCTCTTCAATATTTTCATTAATGACTTGGACCAGCTGGGAATACTTATCAAATTTGCACAAAACTGGAAGGGATAGCTAATACTGGGCTGAAAACAACAGAATGAAATTCATCAGTATCATTAACTGATGAATTTAATGTTCATTCATCAGTTAATTCATCAGAGCTGCCCATATCTAAAGCTCTCTGGCACGTTTTCAGTATGGACAAATGCCAAGTTCTGCACCTAGGAAAAAGAGACCAAATGACAGCAATTCCAGGATCCTTCTCACTTGGCTCAACAATGCTGCAAATGGGAAGGATCTTGGAGTTGTTGTAGATCACAAGTTGAATAAGAGTCAACGGTGTGATGTGGCTGCAAAAAGGGCAAATGCTTTTTTAGGCTGCATTAATTGACATATTACTTTCAAATCATGTGAAGTACTATTTCCCCTCTACTCAGCTAGGCCTCATCTGGAGTACTGTGTCCTGTTCTAGGCAATGCAATTTATGAAAGATGCAAACTGGAAAAGGTTCAGAAGTGGTCATCAAGGATGATATGTTGTGAGCCGCTTCAGCGAATGGGGCGGCATAGAAATGTTTTAATAAAAAAATAAAATAAAATACAGGGACTGGAAACAAAACCCTATGAGAGATGGAAAGAACTGGACATGCTTAGTACTGAAAAACAACTGAGGGGAAATATAGCACTGTTCAGCTACTAGAAAGGCTGTCAGAAAGGTGAACCGGGATCTCTTCTAATTCACACCAGAGTGCAGGACATGGGCTTAAGTTACAGTAGGCCAGATTCCAGCTGGATATCAGGAAAAAGTCCTGACAGCTGGAGCCATTCACCGATGGTACCAATGACCTTGAGAGGTTCTAGGTTCTCCCATACTGGAGGCCTTCAAGAGGCAGTTGGCAGCTTTGGGAATGCTTTAATTGAAATCCT